TTATATATTTATATTTATATCCATGATGAAAATCACGTTTTTACCCCCTCACTACAAATTAAAATTAAACTTACTGTTATCATGAATTAATCTTTTTATGAAGAAAGAATTTAAAATAAGACTATTTAATAGTAACCCTGAGATGAATTTTCATATCTGATAAAATGTAGTGAATATCAGCTGATTTAATGAAGTGACTACTTTTATCTTTTGCTCAGCCTGGAGACACCGCGGCTTGGAGCATGTGCTCCAAACACTTGTTAAGCCAAGGCTGTGAGTTCAATTCCTCTGTATATTATAAATATTTTTAGTTGTGTTGTGACATGATGTGTATTCCCAGTACACTATCAATGTATCTTTGAACCTGAATCCTGCCCCAAATTCTCATCTGTACCTGGTAAAGTAATGTGATATTGTTGAGATTGTGTGTGATCCAAAAGCCTCTGCACTACTGCGCTCGTTTTCTGATAGGAACCTTGCTCCCCACACCTCTTTAACTGCTCCACACTTGATATGGTCTCATGAGCTACATGAGGACACCAAATAAATGTACTGCATTCACAATAGTGTGATAGCTGGGGACATCAGGGGAAAAGTGACCATTGTGGTTCTCTAGGAGCCAAAACTTGACTGGATAACATTCTCTGAGACCCACAAAGTATGTCTGGATAGATAACAAGGGAATTCTTTTATCTTTTGGTTAATATATTGTAGGAGTGTATTTAAACTACTTATTTTAATTTCTGATCAAAAATATTGTGTTGTTTAGAGTCCAATATAGTTGTTGTATATGCACTATACATGCGGTGTAAAAATGTATGACAATTTTTGAGAAAGATATGAAGTATTTGCAACTACAGTAGATTCATTCTTAATCAGACTCATTGGAACTAGTTCCTTCTCAGAGTACGGAAAGTCCAGTTAAAATGTAAATGGAAAAAAAACAGTAAATTATTCCTTAGGTCTGTTTATATTCTCCATAGAAGAAACATTTATAAAACAATTATGTCTAGCAATACTTAATTGTACATAAAATATTTTGAAATGTAGTGTAATTTTACAAGTATCTTTTAAGTTACAAGTTAATTTTAGTAGTATCTTCGTACCGTAATCATTAGGATCCACGGCAGGCTTCATCCTCTTTATGATGTCTGTGTATGTGTCACCTTGCCTAGCTGTGACCTTGATAGCTGGGTTGAATTTCTTACTTGACTTATACTCTTCTTTCTTTTGGCTATTTTTCCTTTTACTTCTTTGCTGCTCTTCCCAGCGCTCCTCTTCTTGGCTTCCTTCCGTCTCAAGATGTTCCATCACCTCTCTCTGATTTTCATGGCTTCCTCCAGGAGTATTCTCCACCGTGATTACTTTATTCTGATTATCTTTCTTGTCCCTTCTGTTATACTCCTCCGGTAGACTATGTGCCGCCCTCTTTTTCCTTTGTGCTCGCATATCATCCAATTACTCTTCTCTTGCCGTGACTTTCTCTTTCGTAATTGGCAGAGAGCGTTATCGCAGTAGTGGGTCTGCCACTTTGCTGTGCCTGGGCCTGCAGGATTTCTTTAGGGCTGACTCCCATAGGAGGGTTGGCTTCGCCTGCCTAAAGAGCTCCTCCTTCCCTTCAGAGGAAGTTTAAGGTGTCCGAGCATTTACCTCCTAAGCCGGTGGGACTCTTGCGTCTTCTTTCGCCCTCGGAGACGTTGGCCTTCCCACGTTGGCAGCTGCCGCTCTTGGAGGTAGGCGCTGCTTCCTCTTCTGCAGTACTTTTTAGTCTCATCTCTCTCCTTCGACATGTCCGGCTAGGGAGACCCTACCAGTAGTTACGCTAACCGCCGGTATAGCTCTCAGGGTCAATGAGATACTCAAGCTCCACCTCCAACTACTAGGTCATGTGGAGATTATTATTATTATTATTATTATTATTATTATTATTATTATTATTATTATTATTATTATTAT